CGAGTACTAGATGTTCCAGATTTTATCCCCGATAAGGGCAGGGATTTTTTTAGGTGGACTTGGACTTCTAGTAATTCCTTGGTCTCTGGGTAATGAGATCAGACACGCATGTGTATTGTTGCGCACGTAAAAAATCCCTTGGTAGTTGGAATCGAAAAGAGTAGCCTAACTGCGCTGCCCCTGCAAAATTTAAAGTTAAAAATCTGCCTAAAGTATTTCAGGATCCTCGCCGGTGCTACAGAGCCTGTGCACTGTGTTGAGCTTCTTCAGGCTCAGACTTGAGTTAAAAGAAGAATGGTGCACTTATGGGTTACTACCCATGTGCCATGATGTTGATCCGTTGTTCAAACCTTCAAATCAAACCTTTTTAGTAGCCAACCAAGAGTTCCTATACTAATGGTGCTAGTTGCAGCCTGATTAAAAGTCTATCTTATTTTCCTCTATATGTTGAAAACTAATCAGATCCTCTGTGTAATCTCTGCTGAATCAGTATGAATGCTCTGCCTGTTCTGTTGCACTGTTTATCTGGTCACAGAGAGTCTTCAGGACATCTGCTTTATTGTAAAGTAGCTCATGCCTAGAGGCATGGCAGTAACCAGTCTCTGGGCATGCTCATTGCCCCATATCCTGGACAAAAAAGCCATGTTGTTTGACTAAAAGTGTGTTGTTGTTTTTTAAGTGGTAAGGGTTACATTTTTACCTGAGTGTTTTTTTTATATATAGGACGTCATCTACTTAATTCCTGACACATAATTGATACAGACACTTCTTTCCATGTGGTTTACCACACTCAGAAAAGGAGACTTTTGAGAACTGCAGAAGCTTTAACAATAAAAATCAACAACCCCCTCCTTTGTAAGCACACATAATTTATCATAAATTTGAAGTTACCCTGGTAAGTCACGTGACTACGGTGAGCTACTGGTGGCCATGAAACAGAGACAATGTATCGAAGAAACTATTCACATTTCAGTTGAATTTATTTAGTTTTGTGCTTTATTTTATGTTGATGTAACTCTGTAGTAACAACCCTGATGAGATACAGCGAAATATGCCTGGCAATAAAGTGTGCAATGTATTTATTGTTTGTATCCGCATTATTTAAATTAATTACGGGAAAACATTGTTTTAAATAAATAAATTGTTTTTGAACAATGAACAAATCAAATACTAGGTCTTATACATGGAATACATTTAATATTATGTTCAACATCTTCATCATCATCCTGTTGCATCATTATATGCAGGCTTTTTTTTTTTCTAGAAAAAGATGCTGGTACTGACCACAAAGTGTCTATTGCAACAGAGCTAAAACAAATGAGACCTTTAAAAAAAAAAGGAGAAAAAAGCCTTGATTACATGTCATATAGGGCTTTCAGTCTTCCTCTATTCTGCTGTATCCTTTGCATCCTTTTGATAGCATGGATGGAATCCATCCTTACTTCTCAAAAAATTTCCTGGTACCTATTTTTAAATCTAGATCAACCTGGGAACGAAGGTCAGAGAAAAATATTTCTGCTATGAAAAGAATTGAAACACATCAGACTTTAAACAAAAATTGTACCACTTTGGTTTTTAGGGCACCAGAGTGAAAGGGTTGGTTGAGCAGTAGAAACTGCTTGATACATTTCATTATCTTTTTATTAATAATTTGTTAAAATTTATAACTGAATATTTCTCTTGTATTATTGCAGGAGAATAACAATCACTTTGAAGTTTTTCTGCTAACTCACAACACTACATTCAGTATAAATCCAAGGTCAGGCAACTCTAAACAGACATTCACTATATCAGTTCTGGATTCTTCAATGCTTGACTATGAGAAAAACAAGAACTTTACTCTAGAGGTGAATGCACTAGATACACGCAAATTGAGCTAGTTAATTAGTTAGTCAACATATTATCATCATTGCATATCGAACCATTTTATCCATAAGTGCTCAAATCCCCTCCTCAGTATCTTCCTCAGCATATAGTGGCTTATGACACCAGTTCTCTATTGGTTTGCTATTCTTGTTTTGGTCCCTATTTAGCTTGCCTGGCTTCACCCCTTTTGATGTTATCTTTGTATAGTCTCGTTTGTGTTGCAGATTCACAGTCATTACTTGGTTCGTTCAGTCGAGCTGCCTCTCTGAGGGCATTCAGTATATCAGCACTGTCCATTGCTTGTCCTTTTCCATGTGAGCATCACTTGCAAGTCTGTTAGCTTATTCATTGCCCTTTACACCAGAATGCCTCAGAACAAGTATAAAGCTGAATTTTGTCAGCCTAGATCTATGTAGGGACTCTGCCCATTGTCTTTGTAGGCAACCCTTTTCAATTTTCTTGAGCATATTCATTGAGTCACTGAGAAAGCATGCCCCAGTGAAAGTCTGTGTTTCTAGGTAAGTAGGTAGTTGTACCCCACCAGGACATCACACTAGGGATAAACACCCGGTGACACAAAGTGCCACCATGCAGATGAGGATCACCCGTGGAGAGGTCCCAGAAACCCCTTTCAGCCGTTAGGCCATATCTATGGTTAGGCCATATTTATGGTCCAGCTATATTCAGGGCCCCCAGCAAAAGCCAGAGTGGGGTTTCAAAATACCAAAAAATTGCATACTGTGAGGGAACGACTATACATCTGTGTTTCCAGCCAGGCTATTGCTTTCACTACCATGACCTCCACAGTCAAACTGCTTATCATCAAGGCAATGACACCGCAGCCTTGTTTGACAGAACTCCCCCCAACCTGATCTGTAAACGCCCACAAGCTCCTGACATTTCGACTGACAGACCCGTCTATGTAGTTGATTACATCATCCTCAGAAGAATTCTGACATATCAAGGCTTGCGCTACTGCTTCCACAACTACTGGGTTTTGTTGTTTGCATTCTCTGTTGAGTTTGATGCATACTTCAAAGGACGTATGACATTCTGGTGGTACACGTACCCATTCTTCTCCAAGTTCTTTGTCTTAAAGTGGACAAACCTCTTGTATAATATCCTCGGCCTGACCCATCCATGATTTTCCTCTTTTTAACTGCTGCCTTTTCTTTTCCTGATTTCACCGTGCAGTGGGTGTAGTATGTTGGCACTGACTCAGAGGTAGGCGTGTGCTCGACAGATCCTTATTCTAGCTTCCATTTCTGAAAAACCAAGTAGGTATCGCATAGCTCTGCATGCTGTATCTTTAGTGCACCTAATTATAATGCAAGTGCACAAACAATCCTTACATCCCCCCCCCCCTCTCTCACTCACACCTCACTGAGGCAAATAGTGGAAAAGAAGAAGAAGAAAAAGAGGAAGAAGAACAGTATAATGCACATGGCCTTGTTTTGTATCTTTTCCATACAAGCAAATTGAGTAATTGTAATTTTTCTATTCATAATTTCTTTTTCAGCCTTAGAAGATTATAAAAAGACAAACAATGTGGAAGCGCAATTAGATCATTACACTGGGGCTATACTGATATAGCAGCAAGTAATCAGTAAATGAAGATTATTCTATGCAATCTTTATGTGTCAATTGAGACAAAGAAGAGAATTATGAAGAGCTGTATAAATCCTACACTGAAATAAGAAGGAAATCATGGACATTTCGACGATTAGGGAAAATTTTTTTGGGAGGCGGCTAAGATGTGATTTTATAGAGGAATGATATTACCTTGAAAAGATAAAAAACAGTAATGAAGATATCTTGAAAAAAAGTGACTCCTGAGTAGAACTGATTGCCGACATCGGAAGAAGACATTCCACATTTTTGGTCATGTCATGAGAAAGAGAAAACTGGAGTACATTGTAATGGTGGGAAAGTTGGAGAAGAAAAGAGGCTAGAGAAGATTAAGAGAGAGGATCCTGCACAATATGACATCATGGCATGGAAAATAATCTGTGTCAGAACTGACTGCTGGAAGTACACAAGACAGAAGGTTATAGATAAAAATGACTACCGTAGCCACATGACATGGACTATAAGAAGAAGAATATTACTGAATCTTAACTTTAAGGCATGATGACCTATTTAGGTTCTGGGGCCCTATTTTGGAAGAAAAGAAAAAAGAATAGACCCACTGCTTCCCTAACAAGCAAGTTTTAAAAGGTGAATTATACGGGGTTTGTAGAAGTCAGATGTATCGGGTTGAAAGATCCAAATATTGCAGCCTAGCTGTAAATCACAATACAATATACCCAATACTCAAGTAAGGGCACTTGCAAAAAAAAAAAAATAGATGCAAGATTAGTTAGTTCAGTTAGTATATAAATGTATTATGCCATATAAAATAGTACTTTGTTCAGGATTGAATAAAGAACTTTGTGTAATGTATAGAACTAGTTACTTTGTAGGTGGATGTCACAAGATGGATGTACAGTAGACTGCTTCTGGTACCATTGGAACTGGAATTGAAACTCTTCGCTGGCTGCTGAAGATTTGGATGTAGCATGCGTGAGAATATACTGTAATATTGATTTTTGACTCAAAACAACTCAAAAAGAAAAAAGTAAAGACAGAGTAACTTCCCTTCCCATTCCTGCCTCATCAGGTGGCAGAACCTCTCCTATATTGCGATGGTGTAATGACTGTGATGCTTCCCCCTGCAGTACTTCTTACTTGTACACAGACACAACCTCCCACAAACATATAACATAAATTATTATATCTTTATGTTTTAAAAATTACTTTATTTTTCCTTTTTTTCATGTGTGAAACACAAGTTTAAAAACACTTTATGTGTATGATAATAGGAATTAAAATATCCATACTAGGGATATGTTGAACAGGACTTCTCAGAACTAATGAAACCAACACACACAAATTTCATTATTTTAACATCAAAATGTGTGAGGCAGATTGTTTTAAACATAAGTTTAGAAAATATAAGTTGAAAATTTTAAACCACATAAAATGTATCATATATGTCAGTTACATTGTAATGGAATGTTGATTTTTTTTAATGCTGTTGCAAATTTAGTAAGTCTTTCTACTGATTGCCTAAATTTATACTCTGAAACATTCAGGCTACAGATCAAGATGATGGACTATATGGAATTGTGACATACTCTTTGGAAGACTCATCACATACGTATGACATTGCTTAATCTCTTATTGTTAAATCAACAATTTCCTCTCTGTTTTTTTTTTTTTTAGTATATTCAACAGTGGGCTCTAAATCACAAAGAATATCTGGAAAAAAAAAATATTTCTTTTTTGGTGTGTAGCAGAATAATGAAAATGTATTGTTTCTTTCACCAATTCCAAATAATAATACTTTAAATCTTTGTGATATTTTATTTCATTGCATTTGCTAAAATGTTATGTATTTGTCAATACAAAGTTACAAATATTCTCATTGGAGTATGGAGTGTAGAACTTCATATATACTAGGCCACTGATCTGTTGCTGCAGGAATTGTTACCATCATTATTTGACTTCAGAAATCTTGCTCCTGTAATCGTAATCATAAAACCAAATAAAAATGTCAAATTTTGTCCTCTTTCGGCTGCCCGAAGGCCTGCTTTATTGAAGACGGTTCCTTTGCTATCTTCTTCTTTTTCTTCTTTGTGTTCACCAGCTTTAAAATCTAGTGGAAAGTTTTGTTTGTTCGTCCACTTTTAGACTGCAGTCCTGTTCCAAAACCTGGGTTTTGCGTGTGCATCCGTTTGACAGTTCTGAAACATTTGTGTGCAGACTGTTGGTTCCTTGCCTCTCAGGCAGATGCACTCCGACTTTGAAGGAAGCTCCCAATTAGTTGACTCTTACAACATGCTTTTGGGTAGGCAGTGGGTCTATTCTTGTTTTCCCTATAATAGGGCCTCAGAACCCACACGGGATCTTTGCTATCTGATTGAATTTGTTTCTGTGTGGTGATCATGCTCACCTAAGCTAGATTATTTGCTGCTGCATCATGTCTGCATGGTCAATCTTGGCAGGCGTTTTCCAGTTTTTTTTAGGAGTAGATCTGGCAGCCCTGAAAAGGGCTGACATTTTTGCCTGGGTAGCCTGGAACGGAAATGGGCAGGGTCTCATCATGGCTGTCTTCTGCTATCAGGTCTTGTTCCTGTTTTTTTTTTTCCTTCTTAAACTCTGCAGCAGTTCCAGTTCTGCTTTAAGACTGCTTCATCATGTATCACCCAGTGTGTGTACCTGCTATTTAAAAAATATATTCATCTTATAGCTGTAGACTAAGTTACCAAATTTCCTCAAGAATAAGACGATCTTATGTAAAAGATGCACCTTGATTTTGGAACCGGAAGTTTGGTAAAAATAATATGATTACATAAAGATCTACTGCCATTGTATAAGACGTACACAATTTTAGACATTTAAAAATAAAAGTGACTTTTACCTGGGCAAATATCATCATCATCATCATGTAGCAAGTTCTTTGCTGAACGTCGCTCTCATCACAGTCTGCCTGAAAGAAATCCGGTCTCTCATCAGTTTTCCCACCTTACGTACTTTTATACTCAAGGAGTCACTTATATCCTTTGTCCATCTTCGTGTTGGTTGGCCCCTGCCCCTCCTTCCTGGTACCATATATAGGATGTGATGGAACATTGGACTTTAAAATAAACATACAGTGTAAAAAGAGATTAATAAAGACATGGTGGCATATATAGGATGTCAAAATGTGAAGTTAATCTCTTCTTGATCATCTTCTTTTTCTTCTTCTTTTTTTTCCTCTTCTTCTTCTTTTTCTTCATTCTTTTTTCTTTTCCTTTTCTTCTTCTTCTTCTTCTTCTTTTTCTTCTTCTTCTTCGTCTTCTTCTTCTTCCTCTTCTTCTTCTTCATTTTGTTCACTGGAAGTGAACTCCTGGGGAAATTCCAGGCTGTTTATCCATAACTGGACATATTAGTACCACAACAACATGTGGTGATCCCCATCTGATCCCAGGTAATTTCTAAAACCAATAAATAAATAATGTATTATGTTTTGTTGTTTTAAGTTTCTATAGCTTATAAGATGCAACAATTTTATTTCCTAACTTTCAGATTTGCTATTAACAATGAGTCAGGAGAAGTGTACTTACTTATCAAGGGCCTGGATCGTGAAAATGTCTCAGAATACACTGTCAAACTAATAGCTACAGACACTGGTGGTTTCAGAGCAACAACACAGCTTGTAATTGAAATCAGTGACGTCAATGATCAATCTCCAGTGTTTGCTCAAGACAGTTACACTCTAATATTTAATGAAGGAGTTACAAATATTTTGCCCGAATTTTTTGTGCAGGTAAGAAAATCATAATTATTGTTGAGTTTAACAATTTCTTGAAATTACACTATTGTTGTTTATTTTTTTCCCAAATAATTTGTTCTTAATGCTTCTTTTTCTTCTGCTCTTTATCCCCAAATGGAGAACAGGCTCTCGACCAACTCACACCAAGTTATTCTATCCTTTGCTATTGTACACAGCTCACACCTTGTCCTCCCCAAATTTGTAACTTTAGCCTCAAGTTCCCTTATCAATATGTTTTTGGTCTGCCTTTTTTCCTTTGACCTTGTGGGTTCTAGTACAAAGACATTCTAGTTATAATGTTCTTATGTTTTCTCAGTGTGCATCCTAACAAAGTCAGCATCTTATTCTCATCTCTTGATCCACTGGAATTTGTTTAGTTCTCTTACAAAGCTAAAAAAAAACCAGTTTTGTTCATTAATAAAGACATTGGCCAAACTGATGAATCTCACGACCTGACTTCTTATAGTAAAGGGTGGTCAAAATACACACGCACAACACATAATTGTGACCAACAGTTCAGGGATTTGAATATGGACTAGAATAAGTAAATAATTCTGCACATTGGCAGGATAGGGCACTTCTTTTCTCTGATAGTCAGAAACTCCTTTCACAGGCAAAGATAATAAGCCACCATTTTAATGTGGAATTATAGAGAAACCTTAAGAATTTACTCATATGCAGGTCATGAATTTGGATTTGAGATGTGACTTGTTCGTATACTCCAAACCAGTCTTTATGCTGAATAACTAAATACAACATAAACTGACTAGAAAGCTCAGTAAAAAAGCGGAACAAAAACATGTACAAATACAACTAACCATTTTGACTAGGGTCTTTATGGAGTCAGTGTCTGTGGCATAGGTGTTGCGAACACGCTTCGTAATGACAGGGTGACAGGTTCGATCCCATCATGTTGGCAGTGTGGCAGCAAATCGTCTTGTGTCTGTTTCCTCAGTGGTACTGAGAGCTGACAGTTCAGATTGGGAGCAAACTACAGAACATAAAATTTGCCTAGAAAAATCACAATAGCCAAAAAATTGTGGGGTTGGTTCTGCAACGTCCTGTTAAGAATGCACAGCTAACTTTACTTCACTGAGTGCGGCCACTGTTATTTATGTGTTGTACTGAAAAGCATACCATGAGGTGAAATCAGAGTCATTTCTTCGCGGCGTCCGTGGCTAAGGCGTTGCGAGTCCGACTCGTAATCCAACGTACCGCGATCGAAACCCACTGCGGGCTGCGTGGATTTTTATCGTGGTATGGGACGTCGCAGGTCGACCCAGCCTCAAATGGGTACCAGGATGGGCTGTCCTGGGAAAGTAAAGACAGCCGGCGTAATGCTGACCACATTACCCACCGAGTGCTGATGGTCTGTAAAAATATGGGCGCTCTTCCCATATGCCCGATACGCCTATAGGCGTGGAAAGGGATCTTTACTTTACTTTTTACTTCTTTTGTAAGAACTTATCTCACTCTGTACCAGGCAAGTCACCATTTCTTTATCAATTTCTTCTTACACTGTACGCTTTTCTTAAAGCCCAGTGTTCCATCACAATTGTTACATTAACCCTCTCTATCCTAATTTTTTCTTTAACACTTTCAGCCCTAGAAAGTTATGCAACGGGTGATTCAGAATACAAGGGGAAAAGTCAGAGTGAATTGAGTTGAGTCAAAAATTGACATCACAGCACTCCGTACATTATCATGCATGCTCCATCCTCATCTTCAGCAGCCAGCACAGAGTTATAATACTGATGGTACCAGTCACAATCTGGTTATATGTCCATCTTGCCTTTCCTCTGAGTGCAGTGAGCCGGCCAGGCCCTCTGGTTACACCCAGGTGCCTCATTCTCTCCAGGCCATAATCTTGTTTCTCTACTAATTCCATTGCTTGTTCCCAAAGGGCCTTGACCACATCTTGTCATGTATCAATTCACCACCCAGTGGTGCAGATCCAGCCAATCTGTCTGCCTGTTATCAGAGTGAATGTCTTGCTTTCATAAACACAACATACACTGTTATGTATGTAAATTGTGACGTGACGAGGTGGATAAAATGTTTAATAATGTTGAGTAGGGATGTTCCTCTCAACACATTCCTTCCACCAGATTAACCCAACTAAAATCTGAGCTATGTTGCTCTCAGATAAAGTCCTGGATACCCAAGAAAACAGCCATATTGGCTCGTTAAGTACATTAACATTAGCTGAACTTGGTACCCACAAGAGAAGACAAGGAATTTTAGATGTCTATAGCATTATACTTAATGAATTATTAGACAGGGCAAATGATTCCTCCGTCATCTACCTTCTCCGGGTGTTATTATGAATAATTAAAGAATTATTATATTATTAATTGAGCCCCCACCAAATGTAATTCTATCTTAACAGTTTAGTTAAACGTGTAAGAACAGACACATTTGGAATTTAACAAACTATGTAGTTTAAAACTTGACATACAGCTTTATTTACTAACAATTAGTTTATATGAACTTTCCAGTTTGTTGAGCTACACTAACAGTGACTGGCTACCGTTATAATAATGATAGTGGTACGCTTCAGCGAGAAAACAGCTCCGGGGTTTAGAGTGGTATGATAATGATGATAATATGTTAACGTAAAGGGGTTAACTCAACTTATAAGCCTCTGACAGCCGTGAGGAACTGTCAAGCTTGTCCAACTCTTCCTTGCCTGTTTTCTGCCTGTTTCAGCTTATTCTCCACTTCATCCCCACCTCGGTCTCCACCTCGTTCTCCACCTCGTTCCCAGCTGGCCGAGTCTAACACAATGTAGTCTACTTCATGGACTGATTGTCACATGGGCGCTGTAATCATGGAAACAAAACACATACGTGTAGTATCTTGACTTACACTAAGAATACATGTATCAATTAATACAACATATAATAATAAGATATAACCCATCACTCCTCCTCATATTCCACATCCTCTCCAGTCTAGTCTGAAGGTCTTTTGTCTTACATGGGCGTCACATATCCTGCCTTCCCTCACAAGCTATGTCATGATAGTTGACTTTCTAAGTCTGTGTCCGTCTTCACTCAGACTTCCAATCATTGTTTTTACATCAACACGTGGGGCAGGTTATGTGCTGAAACTCCAACCATTTTATGTGTGCATGCTGTCCTGAATATTATCTTTCAGTGACAGTAAATACTGTACACCCATCATTCTTCCCCTGGGGTTATAAATCCCCTGTTTAGGTGAACACATTAAGTGAGCACATGGTGGGCACACAAAACGTAGCAGCATCCCTGCACATATGGGCATGATTTCCCACAGTCCAAACTCACATTTTGGGTTGACCATGAAACAATATAATTACATTTCAAATGTCATTGTTCACATCTTATTTTATACACATGAAAACATACACTGAAAAAAATGTGACACACACATACAAGAAATAGGAATAGTTTAGCAGTTCCCTAACTGAGATACTGAATACTCACAAAGAACTATTTCAAGCAGAATGTGCAGACAAATTAGGAAAAGGTTGTATAGACTAAGCTTAACTCCCTAACCAATGTATACAAGATTAAAATTAATATTCACCTGGGAACTTTCCATCAATCGCCAAACCAGAACCCGACCGTAAAATACTTTTACGTCGACCTGTGTTTGTTGCTTGCTAGCTGCGATTAATGACAGGAATTCCACAGGCTCGAAGTATAAGTATCAATCTATTGTCCAAATTAAACTCCTCCCTTTCCTCGGTTCTACCCAACCCTCAAGACGATGACTTAAGCCACGCCTCTGAAGTACCTATCAGATCAAATTAGCTAACAAGTGGCCTGTCAGTCAATTCTGGACTGACATCCCTAGAGCAAACAGTCTTAAGTGACCCAATCTAGTTTACAACAAATCTAACTAGCCGGTGTGAAAACGGTCCGTGAAGCCATTGTGTTTACTACTTGACCCAGATCAAACATTCCTAATTGCCAAACACCTGTTCTGCCAAGAATTACACTGACTTGCGAAACTCCGACCTCCCGGCTCCACAATGTCTAGCGTCCACTCAATTCCCCTGTTCAAAAGGGCCCCACTCAGGCTGTGTTAGGAGATAACATTCTGACACTGGCGTGAGAATCAAACCTAACATCCCTAGTCTGAACCAGCGGGCTGTATTACGTAGTGTTAAGTAATTTTAAACAAAGCGCAGTGGCTTTGTCTCGGAGAAGGACTGGAAACATTTAAATCAATTTGGTTTAAAGTAATATTAGGGTAAAGGGCAGAGTAAATATAATCCTCTCTCTTTAGAACCAGAAGAACTTATTACAAGTACTAACTTCTGGAACCACTGAGGTCGTCTCGTGACATAAATATATTAAGCCATGTTTCATAATTGTACTCAGATTAAACAAAAAAGATACAGTTATACACTATAAGTGATTTGATATTCCCAGACAATAGCTGACCACAGTGTTACCTGGGACAGAATGAGTTAATGCATGTGAGATGATTCTATCATTTCATGTCTTTTAGATCCAAAACTTGTTTTTTCTTTTCTGATTCAATTCTGTTTTCCTTTGTTTGAATTGTTTCTAGGCTACAGATAAGGATGATCCAAAAACAGATAACAGCCGAATAAAATACTCCTTGCTGAACAACACTGCCTCACCACAGTCCAACTTTTCTATAGACCCAGATTCAGGAAAACTGACTCTGATATCACCATTAGATTATGAGTTACTCAGTGGGCCTTTCATTTTGACAGTGCAAGCTGAAGACCAAGGAGCAATCCCCAATGTAGTTAATGTTTCAGTTAAAGTCATTGTCCAAGATGTAAATGACAACCATCCTTTCTTTAAGAATAAAACCTACACAGCCAGCATATATGAAAATGTTACAGTTGGTAAGTACATATAGTTTATACTATTTATGACATGATGCATAAGATAATTTGTTAAATTTTTTGTTGTTTTCTGCTGTTGTTGCTGTTTGTGTTGTGTTCTTGTTGGTTGTTAATACCACCATACTGAATTCTTAATACTTGACAAAATGAAGAATACAGGAATTTCGATGGCTTGAATTCATTCTGGTAAGAAAGCTGTGTTTCTTGTACATTTTGTATTCAAAAGGGGGTGGGGGGGGGGGGGGGGATTGGGGAGTAGTTGTATTATTGTATCTGTTAACAAAAGAGATGCAATATGTGTGCACTCTAACACAACAAACTTTTCCCCCAGTTATTTGATGAGATTTATTTCCACCAGACACTTTTCCCCTTCTCAGGAGGACATTCTATGGTTTGAGAATATCTTACCTGTCATAGAACAGGTTTCTTTTTTACTCACTATGGTGGGGGTGTGGGTTTAAATCCCCTTCTGATACAAGGGAGAAACCAAGACAGCTGTCTTTTGATGCAAATGATGCAAAGAGCAGACAGTGTCCCTGGATACTCAGATACAGACTCGAGTTGGCTTTCGTAAGAAAGTGAGCTGCCTGAATATCCCTAGAAATGGGTAAAGGGAATTTAGATGCCTAGAGAACACTTAAACAGAGCAGATTACCACTCCCGACAATTTCCCTTTCTGGTTATCAATTTAAGCCCCCATCTAGAACAGGTATTTTGATATACAGCTCTGAGCTAACACCATATACATATCTAGATATACAATTTATTCTTTAACTATGAATGAAAATTAACCATAGATACATTTTTAAAATTAAAGTCAATACTGATCATCTATTTACTTTTTGAAATACAATTCTCAAACTAAATATATTTCATGAAAGATAAAAATTATAACCATTGAAACTGTCGTTGTGAGAGGGTTAGTGAGAAATAACACAAACAATTACCACTTGGGGTTTCCAAGAGGATCATCTTTTTTGGAGAATGAGGTGAAACCTTGGATCTGTCTCAGACACCAAGACCAAGACCTTTCTCAGGGCACTTCCTTTATCACCTATGACCAGCCTGGCATTGGTTTGGAAGCTTGACTTGCCACAAGGAATCTGTCCTTGGCTTTTCAGCAGCTGGATGTAGTTATATGACTTTTGGGTGAATTTGTCTATAATGCTAGGGCTATAGCCTGCGTGAAAGACAGAGTTAAAGTTGTCTTTTCAAAACTGCCTCTCCTCTGTCTACTGCTATAGCGGCCGGAAGTGAATGATGGCAGTCCGGTGTGATCTCAATTGGTAGCCAGGTTTTTGCAATGATGTTGCCGAACTTTCCATACGCGAAAGCGATGGGCATCGACTGACAAATTAGACACAATGGGAATTTCCCAAACAGCAGCTGTAGACTTTAATTAGGATATCCCTCAATGTTGTCTCTGACGACAGTGATGTCATTCTTGACATAGCCAAGAGGGAAAAATAAAAGGGTCAAAAAGGGGCCGTACATCAGTCAAGGTATCTTTTTCTACTTGAAGCGGTGTCTCACAACATTACCATTTTTTTTTTTTTATTTCACAAGCGTAGCACATTAAAACAGGCCATACTAGTTCAGCTGCCATGCAACATACACATGTTATACATCACAGCGACCATGGATTGGTGAGAAATAATGTTAGAATACAGTTATAACAAATAAAATACAAAATCAAATCAATCTGTACATTAGATCTTGTTTAGGAGAAACTTTTTGAGCATCATAACAGAGCACTATTATTTGGTAAAGAGAATTGACTTCTAAAACAATTAGTATCTTCACACACAGAAAAGTTTTTAAAAGCACACTCAATTTGCCTATAATGATATAGCTATGTTCCTAAATAAAAACAAGAACAGCACTAGAACTGACACTGACGAAATTCACCTTTTTCCACTAATATTTATTCTCTTTGCACCAGCTGAATTTGTTATAGTTGTACACTTTGCACAAGGAAGATATTAGAGCTATCCTTCATCAAAGTTTGAAAATAAATGACTGAAACAAGTATACTTTACAACTTTCTCTATCTAACTTCAGATAAACATGTTAAACACATGTTTTATTTAAATTTGAGACTTCTAAAGCCCTAAATCATACTGGCATGCATATTGAAGCCCACTCGGCGGCAATATTTATTTCAAATAAATACTTGGTCACTCAGTAAACCTCACAAGCATACTATATTCTAGACTTTTAACCACGTTTCCATATGATCCTGATGGTTAATACACATGGTATCGAACACAAAGACGTGAAGAGGTAGTTTTAATTGTGCGGTTCACGTTTTTATACCGGTCTGTGGCAAATTGAAAAACCTGTACACATCAGACATTGACTGGGTGGCTGGGTAGTAACCGTGTGATGCAGAGGGTAAAATATCTCCATGAAATGCCATGTTCTTCAATGTGCTATCTCACCGGCCTTTAATTCAGCTTCCTTAATCTTTTGTTTTAATTTGTAGTGTGTAAAAGTGAATAGAATCAGGTTTTTTTATTCTTATAGGAAGTAATCTGCTTGACTCTGGACATGTTGCTGATAAAGACTGTGCTTTCAGGATTATTTACCACACACTGAATAGACATTTGCTAAAAGTTATTGAGGTTATATAAGTAAAATTCTTCTCTCCTTTGTTACGTAAACAGAAAGATCACATGATCATTTTGAAGTTACCATGGTAATCATGCAATTGATTTTGAGTTTCCTGTGGATAGATGCAACTTGACAGTGTGGTTTATGATTTCAGCAAGAAGAGGATTCATTTTGTGCTTCATTATATGTTGATTTAACTCTGGAGTAATTCACCTGACGAGATACAGCAAAATATGTGAGGCAGTAAATTGTGCAATGATTTGTTTGTGTCCGCATTATTTAAACTCCTTAGTTGCCTTTTGTAGAAAGCTTGGTAGGCAATGGGCATATTCTTTTTCTGAATTTTTATAATTACCTTATTTTTTCACATCGATGTTGTGTAACAGTGGACATGATTGTGAGGTTTTTTTTTTTTTTTAAATCTTTCATCTGTTGTAACGTATTTGATTAATATAGAACTGGTTTACTATCCAACAGATTTTCCTGTGGTAACTGTCAGTGCCACTGATAATGATCGGAACTCATCAAACAATCAAGTGTCTTATTCTCTGGACACTCTCAGTGTGAAGACATTCTTTATTCAACAAAATGGAACCATTACAGTGAAAGAGAGACTGGACAGAGAAAAAACTTCTGATTATACAATTATTGTCACAGCCACAGATAATGGACAGCCAGCTTTGACTTCCACAGCTTCAGTAAATGTGATGGTGCTTGATGTGAATGATGCACCACCAACATTTTCTTGGGTATGAAACCTCCTTCTCTGTCTACTTCTTCTTCTCTTTCGTATTTTCCTCCTCCTAAATCCATACCATAGAGGCCTCTATGAAGGGTTGAGTGAGACTGGCAAACTGATCAAAAATAAAACTGTTAGGTTCAAAATCCAACCAATAATGAACAAGTTTAGAAAGGGCCAAGTGTGAGTTGGTTGAGAGTCCTATCAGTTGGCAACTCCAGCTTCTCACTCCATGTCCATCCTCTGTATATTTTTCGTCTGTCTCTATCTCTCATCTTCATGTTATCTTTGGGTCTTCCCTCTCCTTATCCTTTTTTTGCCTAATGGGTTCCGAGGCATGGACTATCTACTTATTCTATTATCATGGATTACCAGGGGATCTGGCCAAAGCTCAACGCTCAGGGGAAGGGTTAGACGAATATACAGTCAGACAGTTACTGGTGCCATTGGAATCATAACTCTTTGCTCCTGAAGATGGAAATGGAGCGCTTGGGAGGAAGGGGGGGGGGGGGGGGATCCTGTCCTATGATATTGATTTTTAATGCAATATTCAACTATTAGCAGGGTTGTTTTTCTCATCAAGCATGTTTAACCACTGTCAGCAGTCTCCAGTTATGTTTGTGGTCAGGTTTATTTGCGCCACTAGCATGGCTACCATTGTGGTAGGTGAGCCAGCTTTATAGCTTTATGTTTCTATCCTAATAGATGGACCCCTCCCTCTTGTCTGTGACCCAGTGTGTTCCTCGAATCATTATCTTCCTGATGTTTCTCCTCATGGGTCATCCTCCGTCCGGTTCATTGTCCTTATTAATTTGCCTTTGTGTAATCTAGTGTGTTCCTGAATCTATTTCCTCCTAGTTTGGTGTATCTTATAATAGACCGACCCAGTTTGCAACTATTCCTTACATAATGTCTTTTCAGACCAACATTTACAGTTTTAGAATTTTGAGTATTTTACGTTACCAAAGGTACTGAAACAGTTTTTAGGTTTAGATAGATCTGAAATTGTGTAAATAATTTGCATATGATCATAGCAATCTTAGAGATGTCATCCTTAGTCTTAGTCAAGGTTTAAACATCACTGCAATAGGGTTTCCTCACACTTGCTCCATTCCTGTGGCAGTGCACAAATATGTGCAGGCAGCAAATGCACATTTCAGTTGCTAGAAGTACACACGTAAAATACTACACAGGATTTTCCACCAGATCACACTTAAACCTGCTACAGGCCATATTGAATACCACAACACAACCGCTGCACAAATGAAAGGTATTCAGCAGAAAAAAACACAGGGCTGCACCAAGCAAGCTCAGGCAGCAAAACTGTAGAGTACCATCCATATGTGAAAACTGCATCAGCCAAGTGCTGTCGGAGGCAAAAACAACCCTGAAGTTTAAGATTCTGCTATGCCTCTGCTATTTTAGGCCAGCAATTCCTGTAATTGTAGTGGGTTAGGCATATGATAGTGATGTGGATAAAATGGTTGATGATGCCCAACTATGATTCTAGATGTTATTTGCCATAGTGCTGTCCGGTTGTGGTGGTTTGGAATGGTGGATGGGGTCTGGTGTGTGCAAGTAACAGATACCTGGAACACTGAACTTAAGTGCTCTCTAAAGATTGCTGTAGGGGGAGGGGGTTCCGGGT